TATATATATATATATATATATATATATATATATATATATATATATATATATATATATATATATATATATATATATACATACATGTACGCAACGTACTGCTACGAGTGTGATATTGCGTTTATACAACAGTTTGACGGCATAATTGTGTATATAAAAACTTAATTAATCATGGAGAGTCTCAAAAACCCTTTTGTATGAGCAACTTCTTTTTTCCACCTTGGGTTCAAATCATAAGCTGACAGTTAAACAGCTGAGCAAGCATCTTTTAAACTAGATCTGTAGTGTCTGCTTGTTGCTGGCTATATGTGGGCGGAGTAATACACGAAGGGGTAAAGAGGCTGTACAGGTGCTGATATTACTTAAATTTATCACGGCTATCAGCCAATCAGATTTGAGAACCAGACAAAACTGTTGTATAAATATAAAAATATATGTCCCAGATCACCAGATAACTATACCTAAATAGAGAGTTAATCTCATATCAAAACAATGTTATTGTAAATGATGGTAATTAAAACACATTAACAAAACTAACTATAAGCGAAAGAAAGCAGGCGAAAACACTGTGCGATATTAAAAGCCTGATCATCCTCTCATTCAGTTTTCAACTGCTTTCTTTTGCTCGCACAAACGTTATCAGTCGTGCTGATCGCATTTATACACATATTGACAAATGATCTTAAACAAAAGTTCTAATCTTTAGTGATGAGGCAGTACTGGCAATTTAAAAAATATTTTCATCCGGTCAAAGTGGCTAGTGGAGGTGGCGGGTTGGCAGATGTTAATGTAAAACCTTGATTGAACATAATTAATTGTTTAATTAATAAAAAAGACTTAAGAAGTGTGTTCATTCAGCTCATTATAAAAAAAAGTAGTATGAGTTTCGCAGTGATGGGTTGCAGCTGGAAGGGCATCCCCTGTGTAAAACTTATGCTAAATAAGTTGGCGGTTCATTCCGCTGTGGTGAACGCAGATTAATAAAGGGACAAAGCCAGAGGTGTCCAAACTCGGTTCTGGAGGGCCGGTGTCCTGGAGAGCTTAGCTCCAACCCTAATCAAACACACCTGAACCAGCTAATAAAGCTCTTACTAGGTATACTAGAAACATCCTGGCAGGTGTGTTGAAGCAAGTGAGCTAAACTCAGGACACCGGCCCTCCTGGACTGAGTTTGGACACCCATGGACTAAACCAAAAAGAAAAAGAATGAATGAGTATGAACAACCAGCAAAGCTCATTTGTGTGTATCCTGCTTTGTACCGGCAGTTCAAGTTGGTGGTGGTGATTTTGAAATAATCTCTGCCCCTTGATTTCCTGGAAATAATTTGCTGGACATTATAATCAATTAAAATCAAACTGTTGATTTTAATACACATTAAAATCAAATTGCTAACAGGAACATTTGTACTCATTTTCGTATTGCCTCATGGATAAAATAAATAAGTTGTGCCCAATGACGCACTTTACACTTTATACTTGTACTCAGCCTTGCAGCAAATGGACATTTGTAAAGCAATTGAGTCTTTTAGCTACATAATCTGAAAGCCCCAGCTACCATGGCACTATTTCAGCTTTATCTTTAAATCCAATAGAACCTCAATCAACTGGATGAACTGACTTTTCTGCTTTACAGTATTATATTTGCTGCTAAAATTCATTATGCGATAGAAAGTGTTTTATTTTAGTGCACCCTTTCACCCCTTCAAAATACCACAATCAAAAGGTTGGAGGAAAGATTCAAACTAAAATCTCTGAAGGTTAAGCAGTCAGAAATTTGCATGACGTATACAAGACCTTGCTTTGAATGACTTCAACCCATATTTGCTTTTACAGGACTTCGCTAGTCTCTCACATCACTCTGGTTTGATCTAGTTTCTTTCTTCTTTCAGTTTCTTTCATGATTCATGACTGTAGCTTTGTTAGCGATTAATTTGGTGCCAAGGATTTTCCTCAAAATGTTAAAGTTTAGGTCAGGACGCTGGACTGGCCATTACATTTTTTTAAATGTTTTTTTTTTTGTTTCAAGGAACTGCTTTACCCATTTTGCTGATTGATAAGGCTCATGCATTACAATGACTTACTGAGTAGGAGATGAACACCAGGGATGTACTGTATGTTGCTAGAGGAGCTTCTAATAAACATTTGCATTCACTCTGGCATGTAAATTTACCAAAGGCCCAACTGCTGCTTCAGAAACCACCAGCAAACCATGACACTTCCTCCTTTACCTTTTGCTGACTTTTCTTGTACAAGTTTTTGGTTTAGTGTTTACCCAGTTTGATGATAAACACAATGTTACCTGTCAAGAACACTTTGGACCAGTTCTTTTTCCACACAATATGCTAATCAGCAAACGTTAGTCAAGGCCTTTTGATTCTTTCTGCTGATAAGCATGAGGAAGCCGGAAGAGAAGAAATTTAGGTCAATATCTGCCAATTTTACAGACATTTAAAGTCCGTCACTAGTCTCCAGGTCTGGCCAAATCTTGTTGCAAAGCTGCTAGTTTCACCCCGATGTTATCCAACCCTGTTCTAACTCTGTTATCAAAGTTTCTAATAAATAGATATTTTCAATATCCTCTAGGGTGTAGAGCAGCCAGGCACACAACGCGCCACTTCTCCCACCTGTCCATCACGTATTCAGCTGCAAACGTCCCTGCAGGACAAGTGGGCTCTCCCGAGCCCAAACTTCTCGTCAAGAAGATGGCGTCAATTGCATTCAGAGACCAGTTGAAAAATCCATAATTCCTTATTCGTTTGGATAGCAGGGCACAGAGAGCCTCAGAGATAGAATAAGACGAGACAAGAGGAGCCAGCCAGGAGAGATATAGGACAGAAAGGAAAAAAGTGCAACTGCCTTTACCGAGAGCCAAAGAAAATGTTGCTGCTGTTGGACAACATAATGTACTTTTGAGGCTTTTTTAGTTGAGTATGTAGTTGTTTAGATTGCAACTATGCAGTTTATTTATAAGGATAGTGCCTATTTTAAAATATTTATAATTTTCGGAGAGGTTTGGTCATTCTTTAAAGTCTCCTAAATGTTGGGAAACTATATGACAAAATCTTTGTCCTCTTCAGCGCTGAATTGGTGCACAATTTCAGCTGCAGTGTTGAACCGATTGACCCGTTGAGATTCAGTGCATTATTTTCACTGTAGATTATGCAATTCCTTTAAACGAAAAACATTGACAAAATGAAATGGCCTGCCCAGAGTCCTGACCTTAACTTAACAATCTTTTAACAAAGTCAAAAGATCAACAAAGCCATCGCTCAGTTAGCTACGGTCATGAACTGTGGAAGAAACTGGAAAAAGATCCACTGACTTTTCTATGTTTGTAACAATTATGCCAAATGTCTGTGCTCTTGATATCTGCAAGTAGTTCTTGAGAGCATCTATTGCGCAGTTCAATTAAGATGTTTTGGTTTCTATTGGACAGAACATCGTCAGTACTGTTAACTGATTTAACAGAGAATTTATCTCCATCTAAAAATGTTGCAGTAATGTTGAGCAATGTAAATTTTAATCTGTAAACACCATTTTTGGCTGATAAATTTAGGTTGCCTGAATATTCGGTGCATCAGCAGCGAAGAGAAAGAGCCCTAGTGACAACCCTATCAACTAAAAGCAGAACTGGAGATTACGTGGATGGATGCCGTACGAATGTAAATTACAACCATAAAAATAAATTCAATGCAAATTGTTTACAGGAAGATTTGAATTTTCCTATCGACTCATAGGTTATGTAAAAAAAAGTTCCAAATGACGGAGCTGAGTACATGTCATTTTGTCATTAAAGAGAAAGAGAAAAATTACTCCACCGTTAATTACTTACCTATCCAATATGAGTTTCTTTTGTTTTGGTGAACACTGATATGTACAACAACTTAGCATTTGGATTGTTTTACAATAGACAAATGAAAAATGAACTACAGGTATTCTTTATTTTAGAAAATATGTGAGAAGAGAATAAATAAAGATAAAATGGTATTTTAATTGTTAACATTGTTAACACTGTATTTTTTTACAAACTGCTGCCAGTAAGTTACTGTAATTTCTACAGGAAATTGTTAACAGTGCACAAACAAAGATGTTCTGAGGAAAGCTGGAAAGTGGTAACCACTGACATCAATAGTTGGGAAAACAAACACTTCGGACATCAGTGGTTTCTGTTTTTTTAGCATGTTTTTCCGAGTATCTTCTTTTGTGGTTAGTTGGTTCAAGCTGGTTTGTGACAGCTGAAGCGTGATAAATGATGACAAAATTTTCACTTCTGGGTGAACTATCTTTTTGAGCAAGCTCCACCCTGATCAAAAAGTAAAAACCTGAGATGGTGCATGAGGTGTCCACATTTAGACCAGTGCACTTTTTTCTTTTTTGGAAGTTTTAGCATGAACACACTAATGTTTCACAAATGAAAAATGGAAAAAACAAATACTGTGCAACAGAAGCTTTTAAGCACTACACACTGATATTAAGAGCCCTGACATTTGGCATTTTTCAATTCTGTGATTTTTATAATATTGCATATATGCATATTGCATTCTATTTTCTTTCAGTAGGTCAGGACTCTGGACAGGCCATTTCATTTTGTCAATGTTTTCAGTAATGTTTTATGCGATATAGAATATGAATACTTGGAATTGAGCACTTTGGATCTTATTAGCTGTATCGATCTCTATTTATACAAAGAAAAAGACAGTTGAAGTCAGAATTATTAGCCCTCCTTAGATTTTTTTTTTCCTTTTAAAAATATTTTCCAAATGATGTTTAACAGAGCAAGGACATTTTCACAGTATTTCCGCTAATATTTTTTCTTCTGGAGAAAGTCTTTTTTTAAAATTCATTTTGGCTAGAGTAAAAGCGGTTTAAAATTTTTTAAAAGCAATTTTAAGGTCCAAATTATTAGCCCCTTTGAGCTATATTTTTTAATATTTTGTCTACAGAACAAACCATCATTAAACAATGATTTGCCTAATTACCCTAATCTATCCTGCCTAGTTAACCTGATTAAGTTGTCTTTAAATGTCACTTTAAGCTGTTCAGAAGTGTCTTGAAAAATATCTATTAAAATATTATTTACTGTCATCATGATAAAGATAAAATAAATCATTATTAGAAATGACTTCCTAAACGATTATGATTAGAAATGTGTTGAGAAAATCTTCTCTCTGTTAAACGGAAATTGGGGGGAAAAAAAATAAACCGGGGAGCTAATAATTCAGAGGGGCTAATAATTCTGACTTCAACTGTATGTTTATTCGGAAAGTACGGTTATAGCACCTTTGTGAGTCATTCCAAACTTGTAAGGCTTTTTAATCACCTTTTTAAAGGCAGCATTGCCGATACAATAATATACTTTAAGGTGCACTTCTCATTTCCTTGAGACCTTTATCTCAATAAACTATTTGCTGTTTATTAATAGTTATTAAGGTAGAATGGTTTAGCTATAGAAATAGGGATGTAGAATGAGATTATGCTGTATTTTAAAATAATTAATATACACTGCTATTATATTGTAACAATAGACAGGTAATTAGCCAGCAGTAAATAGTTGGAATTGGTACTTAAACTAAAGTTCTACGAATAAGTCTGTAAGCAATTGTCCACTCCCATTCCTTTAGCCGTTCAAGTAAAATAACCCATGTCCTTAAATGCAGTTAAAACAAGGATGAAACTAGTAGGTCTGGCATATAGTCACAACAATATGAACAATGAACAACAGCCATTTTATAATATACAATATTATCAAATAGTTTTTTAATGTTTTTTTTTGGGTGGATCATGCCTTTTAATATATGCTTTGGTTCTGTCTTTTTTGACAGACAGACTGAATTTTTTTAATATTTTTTTATTATTCTCCATATAGAAATGTTCACTGCTGCAGCTTCATTAATAAATAAATAAATACATTTTATGATGAGAATAAAACATTACACTCTAATTCTTTATTTAACTGAGAAATTATATAATTAAAAAGCTATTGGATTTTTTTTTCCCTTTAAATGTATTTTGTTTTACATTTTGTTTATTTTTGGCTTGTGGTTATCTTTAATTGATAATATGCTTGGCCTCTAAGAATTACATTTATAATATGTTATATTTCTATTATATCTATATTACTATTATATATATTATAAAAAAATAAAATAAATAAAACTAGTTTTATTTGTTTATTTAAGCGTCTACTTTTGTTTATTTTCTGGATCTGTATGTTGCATCAGTGCACTCATTTGTGATCATTTGGTGCAGAACTTTCCATTTTAATATTCTTTCTTGAACTTTCCAGTTTAAGATATGTACATTTCAAGTTTTAAGATATATTCTTGTACTTGTGGGCTGAATTTAGAGTGTACTTTGTTTTTAAAATTCAAAGCCTGAATATAATAATAATAATAATAATAATAATAATAATAATAATAATAATAATAATAATAATAATAATAATAATAATATAACAAAAATACATCCGATTTTGAAGCGATGACATACCATTTTCAAAAAGTAAATTCCAACCCTTTCACAGTTTTGGGTTGGAAGGTAATCCGCTGCATAAAGCATATCCTGGGTAAGTTGGATGACCCCTGATTAATAAAGGGACTAAGCCAAAAAAAAAAAATGATCGAATAAAATAACAACCCATGATAAATTTCTGTTAATGATCAATAATAATCATTTGAGTTCAGTGTTGCCTTTACTGGCCACTAGATGGAAGCAAATACATATCCGTTTGAATTGCTGGCACTGAGTTTGCAAAGTTAATCTTGTACAAGTATTACAATTACTTTTGTATATGTTTGTACATTTATTCACAAACAGGCAAAATTAAAATGTTTAATGTTTTAAATATAAGTTTTATAATATTTATATTTATACGTTTATTTAATAAGTATTAATATGTAAGTTTTCATTCATTCATTCATTTTCTTGTCGGCTTAGTCCCTTTATTTATGTAAGTTTTGTTAAAATAAAAATCTCATTGCTTCATTTTATATAATTTTTTCACTATATATTTTATCATTTTGGCCACAGTTTAAAATAAGGTTTCATTAGTTAATGTTAGTACTTAAAATAAATGTACAGAATTTAATAATCATGGTTTAACATAATATTAATAATACATTATTAAAATCAAACGTTATGCTGGTTAATATGAACTAAAAATGCATGACTTTATTGTCATGAACTAGCATAAACAATATAGATAAATGTTTTGTTCACTGCTTGCTTTTTATTTTAGTTATAGTTTTGTAACCACATCAGTTTAAACTTGACAGATATGAGAAATGTAAGGAGTTAAAATGAAACAAGATAATATATTTCTGCCACGTACACGTCTGACAGAATCACTATGTTGTCAGTATTTTTGCATAGACTCAGTAATCCCACTGAATGACTTGTGGATCTCATGAAATGTTTTTCAAATCATTGTCATTCAGCTAACTAAATTAAATATTGAGCTTAATAAATGTACATTGTAAAAAAAGATCAATTACATTTAGGAGCTACGAGATTAGTACAAAATTAAATCCTTCTGCAACAACCCGTATCCATACACTAAATAGTGAAACTAAATCTATACATTTTTGAAAATCTATATACATCTATACATCTTTTTTAAAAGGTTTGTCACCCCAAACCCACAAAAGCAAACAAAATACAATATCTATACAGAAGAAAGGTGGATATACTGATTTAAAACAAAGTTGATGAATGAAAAGAAAGCTGACATATTCCCTCTTCCATATGTTAATCCATTTATAATGTCCATTACAAGAAAAAAGAATGATTATGAGTGTAAGATATGCCTGAATTGTCCCCTGTGGCTTTGAACACTTACGCCTTGTCCGCTATCAATATCTAGTGTGCTTGGCATGTCCTAAAAAGTGACAGTAGAATATTTTGATCACCCCCATATATGCGGTTTGGATGCAGGATTTTACATATTAGGTATTTTCTATTGCTTTGTTTTTTTCCGTGGTGCTGTTGTCAGTGGATAAAGACTTGACATGAGTGGATTTCTTTTTCTCTGGCCTTGCTGTCATGCACGTCCACTGAAAGATAAAAAACCCTGCCAAAAACATAAAAAATGCAATCAATTACTGTAACTGTATTATCGTATTAGTCAGATTAGTCAGTACCAAAGCCAAAACTAGAATTAATAAAACAAAATAACTTAAAACCATAGTGCAAAAATTAGTACACCCCATTGTTAGGGAAAATGCTAAATAAACTTTTAATTATGAGGGAAAAACAAAGAAAACTATATGAATATTAAATTCAGTTGAAATTGTTGTCATTTGTAATTTTTTTTTTTATTTATGATCCTTTTTTGTTCACAAAGCTGTTAGGAGACCAAGCTCTTATTTTAATAAATATAACTACAACATACACGGTAACAACATACACTCACCGGCCACTTTATTAGGTACACCTGTCCAACTGTTCATTAGTGCAAATTAGCAACGCAATTTGCAAATCAGCCAGTCACATGGCAACAACATGTATGCGCAAATGCCTTGTTGATGTCAGAGGTCAGAGGAGAATGGCCAGACTGGTTTCAGCTGATAGAAAGACAACAGTAATTCAAATAACCACTCGTTACAACCGAAGTATGCGGAAGAGCATCTCTGAATGCAAAACACGTCCAACCTTGAGGCAGATGGGCTACAACAGCAGAAGACCACACCGAGTGCCACGCCTGTCAGCTAAGAACAGGAAACCGAGGCTACAATTTGCACAGGCTCACCGAAATTGGACAATAGAAGATTGGAAAAAACGTTGCCTGGTCTGATGAGTCTCGATTTCTGCTGCGACATTCGGGAGTGGGGGGGGTAAGAAATTGGCATCAACAACATGAAAGCATGGATCCACCCTGTCTTGAATCAGCGGTTCAGGCTGGCAGGGTGGTGTAATGGTGTGATGGATATTTCCTTGGCACTCTTTGGGCTTATTAGTATCAGTTGAGCATTGTGTTTACACCACAGCCTACCTGAGTATTGTTGCTGACCATGTCTATCCCTTTATTACCACAGTGTACCCATCTTCTGATGGCTACTTCCATCAAGATAACGCCCCACATCATAAAGCGCGAATCATCTCAGACTGGTTTCTTGAACTCACTGTACTTCAATGGCCTCCAAAGTCATCAGATCTCAATCCAATAGAGCACTTTTGGGATGTGGCGGAATGAGAGATTCGCATCATGGATGTGCAGAAGACAAATCTACAGCAACTGCGTGATGCTATCATGTCAATATGGACAAAAAATATCAGAGGAATATTTCCAGTATCTCGTTTAATCTATGCCATGAACGATTAAGGCAGTTCTGAAGGCAAAAGGAGTACTAGTAAGGTGTACCTAATATAGTGGCCGGTAAGTGTATCTAGTCTATATTCAATGAGATAGGGATAAAAATATTCAAGCACTCATGTATACTCATTTATGCTATTATGCTACAGTAAAAACTGCTTATCTATGTTATTTCTTGTACAAAATACATCAGCTATGTCAATAAAAGCCACTCTGTTGAGTTCAGTTTACACTTTGCAGAGTTAAATTTTCACCAAAAGCCGACAGAGCAGAGATCAAGGTTTATATTACTATCATAATGCATTTCATAACTGTTATTAAATTGAAAAACAGTAATTCATGATATATATGAAAAATGGTAATCGACAGATTTTTTTGTTTGCTTTTGTTTTACAGTGAGTGCTTCTGCAAGGTTTTTACACTTACTGCAGTTATAAATTACAAGTGTGAAATATTTGATGATGATAAGCCGTGACTAAAGATTTTGTGACTAGCCCTCATTAGAAAAACTTACCTTGCAATGTATTTGAAATGCAGAATAGGTAGAGTACAGGGTAGTTGGTATATCCAGAGCCAAGAAAGACCAAGCCCCATGATGAACCCAGCAGACACATGAGCCCCAGCACTGTGATGGCATCCTTCAGGGATTTGAACTTATTCTTACTGTCCACTTGCTTCAGCTTGAAGATCTGTCTGGACACTGTGATCAGGACTACTGTGTTGAATAGGAATACGACAGAGACGTAGGAAAGGTTCACGCCGTACAGGATGAGAGGCTCTGTGATCCAGCAGCTGTAAAACACGGTGCACATTTCTGATAGTTAAAGGGCCCTATCATACACCCGGCGCAGTGTGGCGCTAGACGCGGCGCAATATTCTTTTGCTAGTTTCAGCTTGGCGCAAGAGTCGTTTTGAGGAGTTGTGCTACAATGTTTAAATAGCAAATGCATTAGCGCTTATTTGTGCGCCCATAGGCATTCTGGTCTAAAAAGGAAGGCGTTCTAAGGCGGACCGCTGGCGCGTTGCTATTTTGAGAAACTATAATAGATTTTTCATTAGACCAAAACTAACCCGGTCTAAACTCCGGCACAGAGTTGTGCCTCGCTTACACACTGCTTAATACACACAAGAGACCAATAGGCAAATATCTTTACATGTGAAAAAATTTAAATATTAAGGATATATATAGGATATAATAAGAATAGATATAGGATATAAATATAAAGGATTAAAATATTACAAAACATATTATTTTCTAGCCTACATAATTATGAAAAATCACTGCTTTTATGTCTTCTTCATCTCGGGAGGCTTTTTAAGTTCATTCATAACAATTTGCTTTTGTATAATGTTATTATTATTAGCAGTATTATTTAATATATCTATATTTATATTTGTTTTATTAAAAATAAGCTTAGATTTGCCCACCTGTCAGGTTTTAGACCATATGGGGCATGGCAGGTGTATTTGGAAATAACTCAGTATTTTGACCACACTTGGTCATTATTGTTCATTTATTCATATGCTAGAAATTAGAACTGAATTTAGAAATAGTTTTGAAACAAATCTTTGCGCTTAACAAATTAAATTAATTATTTATAGACTAATTGATGTCTGTGTGTAAAGGTTTCCCTATCCAAGAGCGAAAGTGAAAGTAGTTCCATTATCTCTCATTCTCACCCAGTAGATGCTCTGTTTAACAGTTTTCTGTTAAAAAACTGTTAACTGTTAACTGCTTGCTTATGAAATGCTCATTTTTTCCACTTAGACTTACTTTGCATCCTGTAAATAGCGAATGCGCTCTTGGCGCAACGCAGCTGCTCTTAAAGGGAATGGGAGATGAGACTCTAATTGGTTTATTCTCAAAACACACCTATAACTCATTAAGAAAATAAACTCAACCCTTTTAGCCCATGAGCCTTGGTCGAAAAGCGCATTTTCCCATCCGTAAATTAGCAAAAATGCGTTCGGAAACGCCCTGAAAGCGTTTGCGCCCTGCGTTTTGCGCTCTGCGCATGGACCGTCAAAAGAGAGTCCAAAGAGGGCTACACTGTTAACAATGTCCTGAAGACTCTACGGTAACTTACTGTAAATCAATTAGAGCAAAAATACTGTACTTACATTTACAGCACTATTTATGTTGCTGTAAATATATATATACAGTATTGTATGTCTTTACTGTAAAATATATAGTGATTTTTTACAAAGCAAATTTATAAAAGAGTAACATGCTGTATAACTGTTCTACAGTGAAATACAGTTCATATTACATCTCAGTTAATCGATAACTTACTGTAAATCAATTAAAGCAAAAAGCAAAAATACTGTATTTGTATATTTACAGCACCATTTATCTTGCTGTATTTACAGTATTTTATTTATTTACTGTAAAATATGCAGTAAATTTCATAATGCAACTTTAAAATGCCGTAACTGCCCGCATAACTGTCCTAACAGTACATTTCAGTTAACCAGTAACTTACTGTAAATCACTTACAGCAAAAATACTGTATTTACATTTACAGCACCATTTATCTTGCTTACTGCTTACTGTAAACTATACTGTTATTTTCACAATGCCACTTTAAAATACAGTAACATACTGCATAACTGTTCTACAGTAAAACAATGTGTAATTTACAGAAAAAGTTAACAATGTAATAAAAAAATGCAAAAAAGAGCTGAAAGCCAGTTTAAATGAAAAATGTAGATGATATATATAAGGGCTTACAATGCATTTGTAGCATTAGAACTGGATAACGTTATTTCTATTCTAAAGCAACTTTATAATACAGTAAAATGCTGTATAACTCTTCTACAGTAAAATGCAGTTTATATTACATTTCAATTCACTGGTAACTTACTGTAAATTCAATTACAGCAAAAAGCAAAAATACTGTATTTAGATTTACAGCACCATTTATCTTGCTCTATTTACAGTATTTTTATATTTACTGTAAAATATACAGTATTTTAAAAAATGCAACTTTAAAATGCAGTAATAGACTGCATACCTGTCCTACTGTAAAATTTTATACATATTACAGTACATTTCAGTTCACCACTGACTAAATCATCTACAGCAAAAATGCTGTATTTTCATTTACAGCACCATTTATCTTGCTTACTGCTTACTGTAAACTATACAGTCATTTTCACAATGAAACTTTAAAATACAGTTACATACTGCATAACTGTCCTACAGTAAAATACAGTTCATATCACAGTTAAATACTGTGTAATGTACAAAACATGTTAACAATGTTATAAAAAATGCAAAAATAGAGCTGAAAGCTGTTTAAATGAAAAATGTAGATGAAATATAAGGACTTACAATGCATTTGTTAGATTAGAACTGGATAACTTGATTTCTTTGTTGCCATAAAAAGAATAATGGCTTTGAAGCGACAGCAAACTTCCAACCACAGCAGCAGGGACTCCTGTTATTAAGAGAAAGAGATTGCAGGATGAGCCACAAAACTGAAGAAACCTTTTTTATGTTTCTAGTTTTATAAAATCATGGTCAGTTTCTTTGTGCATACTTTGTTACACTTTGTAACTTGAAAACATACTTTGGTTGGACCAATTATCCCAGTGTAAACCTTTCAAATCTTGAAAAATCTATCAACATTGTTTGGTGAACAATTACGAGTGTTAACAAATATAAACACAAGTACAGAGGGGATGGAAATGGATACTAGTCTCTAAAAAGTAAGTATAAGTACAATAAAATAGACCGTGTTGTAAAAAGATGTACGTGAACCCTTTGGGATTATTTGGATTTCAGCATAAATTTTACAGAAAATCTGTTCTGATCTTCAACAGACAACGACAATAGAAAAATAGTTTGTTTATACTAACACCACACACATATGATATGTTTACATTTGGTTCAATTGTTTAATGAACACAACACGTAAACATTCACAGTGCAGTGTGGAAAAAAAGTATGTGAATATTTTGGTTTAATAGCTGGTGGGCCCCCAGTTATTGGCAGCAATAACCCCAACCAAGCGTAGCAAATCAGACCTGCACAACAGTCTGGAAGGATTTTGGACCATTCCACTTTACAATACTGTTTCAGTTCAGCAATATTCTTGGGCTGTAAATCGCTTTTTTGAGGTCATGCCACAGCATATCAATATAGTTGAGGTCAGGACACTGACTGGGCCACTCCAGAAGGTGTATTTTTTTTCTGTTAAAGCTATTTTGTTATTGGTTTAATTCTATGCGTGGGTTGTGGGTTATGGGGTTATGGGTTGTTGCCATGTTGCATCACCTATCCTCTAGTGGTGTAACTGATCACAAATCTCATGTTTCGGGTCACATTATAGTTTCTTTAGTCACAGATCAAACTATTTTTCTAATCAGCCAAAACGGAGAGGAGACAAATGTAATTTTCTTTCCATTTATTACAAAAACAGTACTGCATGACACTTTTGGTTTTAACAAACAGAACTCAGAACCTGTGATTTTATTAAAAACAAAATGAATAAATAATCAGCTGTATAAAAAAATAAATAGTAAATTATTCAGAACTGTGAAAAATTCACTGTTACTACCACTGTTGCTAATAACACTAAATGTATAAAGTGTATATGTAATATAAAATGTACATTTAAATTTATATTTAGTCTCATTTTTAATAAATGATTCAGTTATTCACTAATAAAACTTCATGTTTCATTGCTTTATGATAATTTTTGAAGAATTATTCAGCAGCATATTGTTGATGGCTGGTTGTTGCCACCTATTGGTTAGATAATGTAATTGCTGCTGACAACTTTCATTTTTAAGCATCTTTAAATGCATATGACGGTGATTTTAATCTTTACCATAAACATCAGTGGTTTTTTATCTAAACTATAAACTGTTATTTCTTAACTTCTGTGTTTTTTGACTGTTTGTAACTTCATAACTAACCCAAAAGACTTAAGACTGAATCTCTTAGAATTAATAAACATATTCAAATCACCATCATAGTTTATGTTGAGTGGGTGTTGAGATCCCGATCTTTTAATGATTATCGTGCAGCTTACACTGATTGCATTAATGCAGGTTAAACAAGTAGTGACTGAAAACACCTAATAAATCCACCACATCCAGAATAACACACCATCACTTCTTCCATCATCGTTATATGTTACAGGAAAGCCTAAACACTTTCATACATGTGATTTGATTGACGCGAGAGGCAACAAATTTAGGATTAATCTACCAGTAAAAAAAATTATTTATCTGTGGGTCATGAGTGCTCCGAACTGTGGGTTGTGATCCATATGAATTCGCTACGATCTGAACAATCTGTTACACCCCTACTATCCTCTGTTAAGCTGCAGTTGGCAGACAGTTGGTCTTGAGTATTTCTGCAAAATGTCTTGATAAACTTTGGAATTAATTTTTCTGTCGATAACAGCAATCTGTTCAGGCCCTGAAGCGTGAGGGGTCTGGATGCAGACCGGGTGCAGGTACAAAGGTGATGCTTTTCAAGAGTTCCCACTTAGATATGCTTAGTGTGTATAGAAGGTTTGGCATGCTGTCCCAGGAGAGAACCCTGAGCTCGGAAATACTTGAGCCCAAGGCTGCCACCTGGTCAATAAGAATTTAAAAGGGATCCTTATATCCTTATATAAGGGAGTTCAGGTAGGTCTCAAGAGCATACCCTTAGAAAAGAGAAGAAAAGGAGGAGATGGGGTGGAAGGGGGGATTCTTTCAAAACGAAGATAGACCAGTAGGGAGAAAACGATCCATTTATAGTAAGCTTGGATCACTCTGATTGGATTATTACTGATTACAGATGAGAAGCCAGTCATGCTCAATCATATTACGTGCTCCTCTTGAAATTAGTTTGTGAAACTTCACTTAATACACACACACATGCAGTAACTCCTAACATAAACGTTCAATAAAAACATGGAAACATATAATGTTTGTGTGGTGTTAGTTTAAGCAGACAGAGTTTTTCTATTGTTGTGACTTAGATGAAGATCAGAACATATTTTTTGTCTAATTTATGTTTAAAAATATATAGATTTCCCAAGGTTGATTGTAAAACAAAAAAAGTATATATAATTGATCTTAGGATGTTATGATCAATTAAGTTTTACAATCATTTTAGTTTGAGTTATCATTATCAAGACAATGCTTGAAAAGTTGGACTGATACATAACGACCTTAAGTGCATGATTCACAAGTTTGCTTTTTATTATTTCAAATAAATGGGTATTAAACAGCATTTCTTCTAACTGTACAAACAACCTTGGCTGCAGTTTTTTGTATCTTGTTTTTGGCTCTATTTGGTTGTGATGCTCACCCCATCCGATCAGAGACAGCTTGACCATGTAGTACTTGATGTAAATGTTGAAGACTCTGGCCAGAAGGAGGTAGAGATGCATGGCTTCAATGGCCATCCAGGTGAAAGAAGACAGCAGGCTGTAGTGTATAGTCACAGCTATAAACACACACAGTCCGTTCATGGACAGTGAGGCCACCCATTCGCTTAACATGAAGCTCGAGTTGAGGAGAAACAGAGCAGCACTCAGAGACACGTGAATGCTGCTGGACACCTCTGTCCTTACGTTCCTGTGAAACACACGCAATAAAACTGGTCAAAGTGCTCACTAAGAAACCAAGTTAAAACATTGATCTTATTAATAAAAGTCTTGCAATTGTAAAAAAAAATTAGGTATTTGTATAAATATTTGGCAAACTTAATTTTCAGCATTGCTATTCCAGTCTTTAGCATCCCATGATCCTACAAAAAAAAACAAAAAAAAAAACATCTACTATATTGATTTTATACTTAAGAAATATTTCTTATTATTATAAATGCTAAAAATTGTTTATTTTCTTGGTATTTTGTCAAAACTAGGGTAAGATATTAAATATATAATAATTATGGGGTTAAATAATAATAACAATAATAAAAATAATACTTTAATTTAGCACTAAATGTTAAACTGATCAAAACTACCTGTAAATATAGTAAGTAATGTGTGTAATATAGCGCATATCATGAGTTCACACTTAGCTGATGATTGATTATATAGCTTGTTTGGCATGCTGTCCCGGGAGAGAGCCCTGAGCTCATAAAATCCTCGAGCCCGGGGCTCCCTCCCGTTTGCAGGGCGAGAGGGAAGTTTTAAGATTCAAAATCACCCCACAGTGGATGAAAACATCCCTAACAGCACATAGGGGTTAACAACCACCAGACAAAAACCAGAGCATTGGAATGACTTCTGAAGGATCATGTGACACTGAAAACTGGATAAATTGGTGTTGATAATAAGTTTAGCCAACATAAGATAAAATCAAAATATATTTCTAAAATATAGCGTATTTTACAGTATTATTGGTTCAGTTTACAGTATGTGGATGCTTTTAGTATCAACATAAGGAATAATGTGTATGAAAACTGAAAGAACAGTACTTGTTTAAAATGAAGGAGAGAATCGCGGATGCAGAAAACAATGTAGATAGACTGCAGCCTACATAGCTGATGTACGACAAGATCTCCCACTGGCTGGCATCAATGTTGTTGTTGCCCACCTCAACCTGGATGGGATGAATGGAATATAGTACATGAGACATTTAATTATACCTATATTAGCAGAGCAGGAGTTGTTGCATGTTTATTAATGGTCTTGAACAATGATGGTCAGTTTTGGTCCTGCTGACTTTTACTCGGATCATAATCAAACAGCTAATCAGCCATCTTGGTTTCCATCATACTGTGTTAGGCAATGGGTGTTTTTCATAAAAATGTAAAATACAATCTCATCCACACATGCATGAAAAAAAACTTTATCCACATGAAAATGTAAACGTTATATAGATATAAAAAATATACTCATCACCGTAAAAGCATGTTCAGCTATTAGTCATCTCAAGAAAGGGTTATTATCAGTTCTGTTTGGCTGTATTCTGATGCCCCTGTTCTGATATTAAGTGGAATAATCCTTTATGTCCTGTATCAGTATACATGTTACAAGCCCTTTTAGCATAGTTATATGCAGATGTATTAGGTCACCCTGGCAATTGCTCAGAAACATGTAAACAACAGAGATTGTGGCACACAATCTGATGTCACACAAAGGAAATGGTGGCTTTGATTTTGCCAGCCACAGGACGGCACAGACTGCAGCGTATTTGAAAATATCCAACCCAGGCTCATTATGGATAAGTACCCCTGCATACACTACTGGAGAGAGCTCCTGCTCTTCTCACATAAATCCACCAGAGGCCACTGTCAATTGACTGACTGACTGACTGACCGATTGACTGACTGACTGACCGACTGACCGACAGACTGACCGATCGACCGGCCGACTTACCGACTGAACCCCACACTCACCCCCTTCATTAAACAAAACCGAAAGTGTTTTCAAAAGCACAGATTGACCTGCCCCACCGCCTTCCCTAAACCCAATGACCAATCCAGAAAAAGAAAAGCCCTTGGAGCCGCCTAATTTTTACCACATTTTCTCATCTTACCACGTTCTCAGTCTGTTTTTTACTTATTTATTTTATTTTTTGTTTTTGTTCTACCTGCTCTCTGGAACCGTTCTTTGTTGGACTTGAACCCTCTCTGCAAACTAGCAACACCGGAAAAGCCATCCATACGGAGGTAAGTGCGAAAAGAAACAGAAGCTTTAAGCTTCTTATAGTAGAGAAAACTAAAATGCCATCCAAACCACAGATAGAGCTTCTTCTGTTTATGTATTTAGGCTTCCAAAGGACACAACACAAAGTGAGAAGTGCTTACAGTTTAATTTTAATTATATTGCAGAGAATTATACAAAATATATAGCTAGCATTTGATAAAGAAGAGCTTACAGAATCTCTCTCAGTTCAGTGCTGAATTCGGCTAAAAAACTCCTCAAAGAAGGAGCCGCTCCAACCATAATAGCAGAAGCTGTGGATTGTGAGTCACAACCTGTAAATATTTTTATTTGTTAAAACTGATCTATTACAATCCATAGTTTCTAGCGTTAACGGTATGTTGTAGCAAGGACGTAAACAAGGATGTAAACAACGAGAAATGCTCTTTGGCACTGCTAACAATTTAGCTACAAATTCATATTTGTCCATCAAACGACTGTAAACACACAATATTCAGCAGCACTGTAGTGTCTGTCTATGCGGCCACTTTCCCTGCATTTTTCATCTCAAATAATCAACTCGCAAATGATATATGAACGTTACATGTTACTTACACATACTTATTCTGAATATATCTGAAAGACACTTGTCGGATTTCTAGAGAGCAGGCGTGAGGTTCATCCTTTTCATTTTCTGTCTGATTCAGGCTCAAACTGATACGGCTAACAGGTACACTGACTGACCATATTTACACTGTATTTACACAGCATTAGCTGACCAATCAGAGCCTCTTGAGGGCGGGTCTTTCGGAGGAAATAGGAAACATGACAGTCGTTTTAATGTTAGCTAAATAGCTGTATATAATCAAAGTATTCAAAGATTTTTTTTTACAAATAAAGGATTAGCACACATTGCTTTGCACCTTATAAACACAACCGAGCCTTAAAAATACACTCTGGACCACCTCAAATGTATTTGTGCCACTTTGTGGACTCATGGGCATACTGGTCTGAAAAGAAGGTGTGTTATGGCCAACGCAATCTCACGACAATTTGTAACTTTTTGATTTAGTGGCTACTTCGTATCGATTCGTACGGTCTAATTTGTACAATTTAGTACGATTTGCTCATTACCCAATGACAGATGGGGTGGGGTTGGGTGCCACGTCTCCTTTTTAAAATCGTACAATTTCATATGACTGAACTCATACAAATTTGTACGAATTATGGCGCATTGTTGGCTCATTGCTATTTTGAGGCAACAGAAATAGACTGCATTCTGCAGATAGTGTTTATCTATGTGGAGATGGTCTTTAAATTTTTTCTTGTTAGTGAAGCATTTTTTTAAAAACTTTTTTTACAAAGTTCGCAATATAAACAGCAAATGTGCCATGGCGCGATGCAACAGAATTTTAGAGGGAATGGAAAATTCACATTCACATTATACTCAAAACACACCCATAATTGATAAGGGATTAAGGACAGCCCTTTTAGACCATGCACCAGGGTGCAGACCACTTTTTTAATCCTTAAAATAGCAAAAGTGGATTCAATAGGGATGTAACGGTATTGTAAATACCGTAATACCGCAATAGAAATTCTGAGAAAATTTGCTCAGGCGAATGAAGCGAACGGAAGGTAGCGGAAACTACAATTCCCATCAGCCCAGGTGTGGCCATCATCCTTTGCGGTCTGTTGTCGCTACAGATCCAGTAATGCGGAAATGGAATGTGCTGCTAGTAGCGGGGATGAAAAAGAGCTGGAGATGATCGAACCTAAAGCGGGTTTTAAATCAAATGTATGGAAGCATTTCGGTTTCTTTGGGGGTGTTGTTGTTGTCGCCGCACGCGTACTGAATAGCGGTGTTGTCGCGCGCATTCTGATCAGCTGTGTTGTCACGTGCCTACTGAAGGGCGGGACGGAGGGTGTGTCGTGTCGCGGGGGCACTTTTGATCATTTTGGAAGGGCACTTTCTATCCAAGACTAAAAAGGGCATGTGCACTGCACAGGTTGAGCCCTATGTGTGCACGTGCCTACAAGTTGGGGAATACGACTAATAACAGTCATGGGGACTGCAGAACACAGCACACTGTTCAGATTGATGTAGACATTGACTTGTACCGCAAAGAGACCTCTATCTCACTCATGGCTTGTCCTCTCAAGTGGGGGAAAGATAATGCACAACGTTACCCACTGCTGTCAACCTGGGCCAAGTCATATCTCTGTCCCAGAAACCTCAGTCCCAAATGAGAGGTTTTTTTTTTCTGTTGCAGGGGACATTGTGAGAGATTGTGAGAGACATGCCCAGAGATCCCAGCTTTTACCAGATTATAGTTATATGATAATTTTCCTTAAAACCCATCTCTATCTAAGTGAGTGAGTGATTAAATGTTGAATGTGATGAGTTTTCAACAAAACTAAATTGAAACTTTATTTTTTTACATGGTTTAATAATTTTTTGTTATTAAAATTGAAAAATTGAAGTTCCTGTTTCAAAGCTTACAGATAGACGGCTAATTTGTATGTCACTGACACTTTTTGGGGGTATTTTCATTTTTTTTGTTTTTCCTGTAAATTATTCAATAAGTACCGTACCGTGCCATTCATACTGAGGTATTACCGTACCGTGAAATTCTGATTACCGTTACATCCCTAGGATTCAGACATGCCCATAATGCTTATGTGTTATCTGATTGTAGACTTTGCGCTTAGATCGTTAAAATAGAGCCCAAAGTGTTATAAGTGCAAAAAAGTGTTGATGTGAATTGCAGTAGATGGAGACTCATTAGCCAATAAACTCTGACGCAGCA